TATGCTGTGAATAATTATAAAGAACCGATGATGAGCAGTTTCGGAAAAATGGCTATAGTTTCAATGCATGTTTAATTTTATAAAATTAAAATAAGAGTTTACAGGGTTTCCTCGGGAAGAAAACAGGCTATTTTAAAAATAATTTTCCTCATACAAAAAATTAAATATCAGTAGAATTTTTTATTGTTGCAAACTAAAAATTTGAAATATTTGGAAAAAAAATTATGTTAAATTTGGGAATTGGGACGCCATTTTCGGTGATCGCTCTGCAAAAAGATGCATCGGCGATGGCAGGATAACTCCTTACAGGGTCATGTAAAATGAAAAAATACGTATTTTAGTTAAAACATTAACTTAGGACTTGGACGAAGGAAAAAAAATAACTGAAAAATGTATTTTTGGCGGACATTTTTACTAACAAATAAAAATTTCGCAAAATTTATTTTTTTCAAATAGCTGTAATCAAAAAATTCTTCATCCAAGTCTTCAAGAATTATATATCTTGAAAATTTAAGACAATATTAGATGTTTTAAAAAGCATGTAACAATTTAATACCCAAAAAGAGTATAAGTCAAATGTATTTTTTATAGCTAGATCAATATCACATTAATAGTTAATTTCGAAAACTGATTGGTTAGCCTCTGAGAGAATAATTGAACACACAGGTGCTCATACAGCTAGAAAAAGCTTTAGTATCCATAGTTCGGGAATTTTGGACTCACTTAAGGTTCTTGGCTAAAAATTGAGCTCTGCAAAGAAGTACTGACTGAGTACTACTACTTAGTACAAGGTACAAGAGCTTATGGTTTTACAACTTTCTCTCTTTGTTTATTTTCCTGGGCTCAACTCACCCTTCATGTTTCCCAAATAGGTGATATTCATAAGAAATGTGCTTATGTCTGCAATATTTATATTTACATATTTATGTGAAATACTTCAAAATTTTGTTTAAAAATTTCAAATGAAATCACTTGAATACATTTATTTTGCAATATTGTCGAGCCATGCGTATACAAATATAGGCAGTAATACAAAAAGTTAAAAGTTGAAATAAATTCAGATATGCAAATTTTGTTTTAATTCAAGCAAAATTCTTGATTTGAATATCATAAAATTTAAAAAGGTTATGCATTTTGAAAAAAACCCAAACGTAATTAATATGACAGTGGCTCCAAACGGTGAAACAAAACCAGCTTTCATTCACTTTTTTGGAATAATTACTGTTAAATAACACAACGAAATAATAATAGAGTGCGTTGTGAAATTTATAACTCAATATATTTGTACGTGCACAAATTCATAAGATCTTGACGCTTGAAACAGCAAATAGCTTTTGAAATATTTGAATACAGAATATATATGTATGTTTGTTTTATAATTATACGGAAAGTCTATGCTTAAATAGAGTTCTGAATTTTAGGCATTTTCTTTTACGATGGGAATTACCGCAACAAATTCGATATTAGCTAATTGCTAGTTTATTATAAATATAGTTTATATACAATATAATAATATAAAAGCACGACACGCTTTAAACTAAACTAAACTTACTGGGGTCTAGAGATGTTGAGCTACATCAGCGGATATGCCATATCAATAGATGTTAGATTTTATATTTTTCGTATCCGGGAAACCGTGATTTTTACCGCTCATTTCACTGACATAAATATATCTACAAGTAGCCGAAGGCCTTGGCAGCCAGTGCTTTAGTTGTTAAGTGGAATAATTATTTATAATTATTACTCTTATAAATAAATAAATAAATAAATAAATAAATAAATAAAAAAATATCTACAAGTACTTATTGTAGATTAAATTCATATAAAAAGGAGCATAATTCAAGTATATTTCAAATAATAACGTATCACTTCCTGCTCCCTGAAGCATTCAAAACAAGTACTTACTTGGGCATTTCTCGCGCTGATTTGAAAAAGAGAAATGCTTCAACCATTCAAAGATAAGAAATCATGCCACCGGCAAAGCAGGAACCTTATCTTCGCCTTTGAATAGACCACACCACGCACACAGATATGCAAAGGAATATTTAGATAATACTTATAAAATATTATCCCTAACCCTAAACTAGTGTACGACTTAGGTTAACAATTAGAGGCCAAATATACAGTGAATCCAACCATGAAAGTCAACGCTTGCCTTTCGAAGTCACTTTTAGTTAAGTAGAGAATTGAAAAGGAAACTCCTGTCTTCACTCAACAATTTCCTCAACATGCTCGCCTAGTAAGTGACAGAGAAACATGAATCAAAATATCAGATAAGGAGAAAGATTGAGTTGTTCAAACCATTTAATGCCTTAAGACAGTTGAATGTAGCAAAGCGCATTGGAAGACAAAGTTGCGAAAGGTTTAGTCTCATGTGGTATTCCGCATTGAATTAGATTTCTAACTTAAGAAACCAATACTATTAGGAAGTTGTTATTAATCCGGCGACGGATTATCAAATCGTTTAAAATACAAAAATATTTTATTTAATATGCTCTTTCAAATCAACTATATTTTGTAAGCCATGATATAAGAGTATTAATCACATATTATTTTAACCCGAGAGCTTACCGGTAATAAAGAAGTTTTTATTCGACTCTTATCACTGGGTGAGTTGCATTGAATGATGGCGGCTATTGCGCAAACACTTGAATGGGCGCCACGACACTTAAATATTACCTCAACGGAAATATACTCAAATATGCGGCATTGATGAGTTCATGTCATACTAAAGAATTTCCGTAAGTTAAATGTAACGCAACATAAACATTTCACCTTCCGATCATTGAGAAAATATATTTATTTTTGCTTGCCAAAAACAATAACAAAAATAAATATGTGATCAATACAAAAAATCCAAAATGTGTAAAAATATTTCTCTCGGTGCTATGCAGTAGCGGGAAGGGCGGCAATAAGTGAAACACGTGATTGACATTGCATTGTTTCTACAAAGCAAACGTGCTCCATCACTGTAAGCGCCACACACACAGGTACATATGTATGTACCATAAACAAACCTGCAACCAATTGCACATTCCGACATATTACAATAAAAATAATATTTTGTAATTGCTGCATGCATTACTTAAGTAATGCTGTCCGTTTCATGTGCTTATTGTAATTGTTGTTATTGCCATAATAGTATTGGTACCGGTGGAGGTGAGTGCTTTGCAAATAGTAGCTACTTCAGCTATTCAATCAACGAATTGTTTACAATTCCACCCTCGGCAAATGACGCCAAATCCGATGTTCAGTGAAATGAAAGGCAAAATGAAATTATCGGCGCAAAAATATTGGACTCTTGTTTTATTTTTTATTTTTTTTTTTTTTAATTGCTGAATAATGGGCCGAAAAAAACATTTCATTTCTTATCACCAGCTGCTGCATATCAGGACAGCATACTTGAGTTGTTATGAGTGTATGTGCTCTTGATTAAGAGTGGCAACCACATGGTACCCATGTCAAATTCTGGAGAACGGACTCCAACGAATAGTGTCACTCATAGGTACAAACTCCAAAAACAAGAAAAATAAAATCTGTTTTGATAGTGATGGAGCGAAATTTAAATCATTTGGTATTCAAACTATTGATATGAAAACTAACATGCAGCATAAATACTACAACCGCAGACATATGTGCATATGTGGTTGCAAGTGGACCGATGTGGCTTAATAATTTCTGAAATTAAATGTTGTGTGTGTCGGTAAACAAATTGTTGAGAACTATGTATTTATGTCTTCTTCACCCAAGGAAAAACAAATTACAAAGAAGCTGTTATGAATCCTGACCCTATCATTTAGACTATAACTAAATATATACATAATTTAACTTGCTCTTCCAAGCAACAAAATTTCGCAAGACTTGGCATTTTAATCACCCCTTTTAACTTCATCTTCTCTAGAGTTTCAAGAAAAGAGTTGCAGCTTAAGAGCTTCTTTGTCAACGTTTATAACAAAACTCAGATAATACGCAAGTTAGGGTTATATATACATTAGGGTGTTTTTTGAACTATTAATTTTTTTCAATCCCGTTACGAAATTCCTTGGAAATACCCTAAAAAAAAAATTCCCTAAAAAATTTAGCCCTTAACATAAACATAAATTTATACAAGTCTTGGTCCAGTTCTTCATGTTTGATTGAAAAAAATTAATAGTTCAAAACAAAAAAAAACATACATATGTGTCTTGTTACCGACTATGATTTGGGTTTCGATCTACTCGATAGCCTACCATTTTAATGAACTCAGCTGTAAATGACATGGATTCGACTGAGCCACTAGTGTCCTTACTATAATCACCGTTCCAAAATTTTTTTTTATATGAATACCTATATTTCACACTAAACGTGGCAGAGTTCGCACTGAGTTTAGACTTTGTGATTGTTGATTCTTTAAATCTGCTGGAATTTTGGCAACAACCACATTTGCTTCGACCGAATATCACAACCAGTTTACTCGCACAAAAGAAGTTCTCCATTTCGTATTTGGCCGCACTGAAAAATACGTCAGTAACTGTCGAAAGCTTGAAACGTTTGCAACTTCAAATCTTCAAACATTTCACCCAACATACGTGATTGTATTATGAGTGCTCCCACCTACAGCTCATAATCAGGCGCATAATTATTATCAGCAGAACAAGTTCACCATACATACCTATGTCCGTACAAACAAACTTGCGTTCACTTATCACACGCTTATCGCTGCTTCGGTCCAATTGAACTTGGCGACTATGCCAAGCGATCGCTGATTGGATGCCATTTATGCCTGTCCGTTGGTGTGTATGCAACGACAACGCAGTCAACGTCGCAGTCGCAGCTAGTGCGCTCACTGATAAGCACTAACAATTAGACAATAGGTGGTCTATAGTGTGGCGGCAAGATCGTGCATTACAATCGTTAATGATCGCGTCGTTTTAATCTGCATCGACGCAATGTAAAGAGTATACAATATATGGCACAATTTATTGTTTGCGAGATGTGTCGAAAAAGCTTTAAATTGCGTCCGGATTGGAGCGAATCAATCATTACGTTCCGAATAGCGGCCACACAAGGGTGGTCCTGTGAGTGAAAAAGTACAAACTAAAGTAAAGCAAAGTAAAAGTGTACGACGAATATTAACAACTTCAAGGACCTTAACAGACGAATTATCGTAAACAGTTTGACAATACAAAAAAGGATATCAGTGCAGATCACGGATATAAAAAAGTGAGAATTCTATTTTTTTTTTTTTTTTTAATTTTTTATTATCTGCATACACATTTCCATTGAAATAGCTTGTGCAACGCTTCATTATCGTTTAAAATTTTTCCAAAATTTTTTCTTAATTCAAATTGCGACAAATGTCGTAGGTGTTTTTTTCCGTTGACTGCGAATTTAGTGACAAATGCCAGCGCGCTTTAATTGCAGTTTATGTTCAAGCATCTGCTTGTTTTCATCTGAATTTCGTGTGAAATATGCAAATCTAAGTGCTTGCTTTAAATGTTTAAATACTCGTTGCACACGCGTCCAAGCCAGGCTGCATATACATAAATATGTAGATATAATCAGCGATATGTGGTGTAACGGTATGCATATGCTGCATTCGGGTTGCATACCGTGCGAAATTAAACGCCCACAAGCAATTGTTTTGCGCGTAGCCAATCTAACAGTTTAAAATAGCGGTAATGAGGTGCTCAAAACCGGAAGCCGAGAAAAACTTAAGTCCAGAAAAGTAAAACAAAGTGAAATTAATTGAGTAAAATGTCTAATAAATAAATAAAATGGTCCAAGTAAAATCGTGCTATTTGGAGACAAGATACAGCAAGCAATTGCAGTTTTTGTTGTAGTATTGTTAACTAAAAATATTTGATTTTGAGTCTAGTAAACAAAAATTTATATTGAAATCTCCTTCCATCTCCGTTAATTATATCAGTTGTTTGTTCGATTCGCTATACTAGAAAAATACTAGTTAGCTTTTTAAATCTTTCCACGGGAAATTTCTGGAACTGATTACATTTTGAGTAGCAGCGATTTGAAAATCATCAAATTTAGGCCAACTGCCAAAGGAATACGATTTTTAAAAATGCAAAAGTCACCAATGTGTAAATATGTATGCACATATGTATTTCAAACATAATGACGCGTTGGCATTATCTTAAATAAATCAGTGTTTGGCTATTAACTATTAGCTTATGTAGTTTTTTGGAAAAAAACGTACAACCAATCATTTTATTACCTCTATGTCTCATTAGTGATGCCACGGACGCACAAGCAAGTCTCACACACAAACCAGACTCTAACACACACATACAGAGTTATTCAAAGCAAATTTGTTGATTTTGCGCATGCCTAACCCTGCGCTAGGCGTTAAAAAATTTCCATTCAGTGCTTCCCCGCTTTGCGTTTTTGGCAACTTTTTGTGCACATATGTATGCATTCAAGTGCTCTGTGGTGCTTAACTGACATGCTCGCAAGCTAGTAAGAAACATAAATATAAACAATGGAAAAACATTTGAATTTTCGGTCAATCGCACACGTCAATCATTAACTGAGTCAGCAGCGTTAATAACAACAACCATAATATGGCGAGCCAGGTAGTCCGGAAACAAGTAGCGATTACGCAGTAGTCACTGCCGGCACAACACACTCACACAAATTTATCGATAGACTTGTAGATAGCTGCGTGTTGACAAGTGAGTTTGTTTGTAAGCCATTTGCGACACACACATACACACGTACATCTGTTTACACGGATATGTTTGCACTTGAAAATCATCGCCTTGAATTTTTTCCATATCGATATGTAGTGCCAATGCGATAGTCCAGTTCGATTAACCGCGTTCATAGACTTATTTACTAATATGTATGTTTATGGATGGCAGACACAAAACGTGTTCGAAAACTAACACAGCAATAAAGGAGTTATTGACACTGTGAGAATAAGGCTACGCGTAACTTGGACGACAGATTCAACTAATACGACTTAAATCATTTGTACACAACACTTAACTTTAAGTATAGATAAATACCAAGCACTTAATGCCGCGACATTACTTTGCCACTTATATGCTTACATAATCCCGCAAATTATATTGTCTTTAAGATATTTTCCAAAAATAGTCACTAGCAACTCCAGAATAGCAAATTCTAAACACTGTGCTATTTGTTTTGTCTGCTCGCGAGGCATAAAATAGATGTACAAAGCATGTACACATTTAATTCGCGATAATAATTGAGCCAGTCATTATTCAGCAGACAGCAGCTTAATAGGATTATGTGTGCGTCTTATCGTCTTATCGTCTTATCTGGTTTATGTGTGAGTGTCATGTGTCACGCAGGCAGCACACGAACTGTTTAACGAACTACCGGTTTTCCAACAGCTCCAACAATTGTGCAAACATATGCACATAATTTTGGCAGCAGGCATAGATAGCCTATCCGTCTGCCATCGCTTCGCCGGTGACGTTTCAAACACTGAATTTTAATTTTATTGTTTGGTTTTTTCTTATTTCTTAATGAAGTAACCTACCTTAGTTGTTGTTGCTTATCAGGAATGCTAATGCTAGAACGTAATCAATTGAGCATATGGTCATTGTCGTCATGGACGGCGCCGCTGGACTTTATCAATGGAATGAGTGTATGGAAATCTTTAAGCTGATTCAAAATTCCATGGAAAGTTTATAACACAATTAACTGGCGCTAGATCTAATCAACAATATAAGGCGACTCAATATTTTGCTACTGTTTTTTGTTGTGAAGTAGCCGAACGTGCTCCAACCTTTTGGCGTCTGCTGAAACTAGAAATTCAGAATTGCTTTATTTTTTTGTTGAGTGATGGACACTCCTTATCTATGTTTACAAATTAGTGCTTACCTTTGACTGCTAGTAAACAGCTAGTAAATATCCCTGAGAGAAAAAAATTTTTGTAAATAATATTAAGGCGGCTTCAAGGCGATTAATGCATAGTATTTAAAATACGCCAACACTCATTTAAATCATTTTTTTATATAGCATTCCTCATCAACTCCTTAATCGTCAATTAAATGAATTGAAGCAATTTAGCCTCTAATTGTACTCAATTAATCTTTTAAGGCAATTAACCTAATCAAATGATGATCAAGAAATCCTCGTGCTCTGCGAAACTTGTTGGATACGAAGATACAACTCAATTAGAGTTGACAATAAACTCTACTCAGCTCAACTCAATTAGAGTACACAAAACTATCATAAGATTTTGAGATAGAAGTTGACAATAGAAATTTTCCATTAATCTCTGGGATAAAAGCGAAAAAACTTAAATAAACTAATAAATCTGAAATTAGTAGCATAAACTGAATGTTAGGTTACGCAAGTTACGTCATTTACTCACTTTGATGAAAAAAGAAAGAGAGCATTATCATAATCAATTGTATCTATTAATTCAATTAGTTTAATTAATTTTAAATTGTTGTAGCTTTTTTTTAATTATATCACAATTAACATTATTATTTTAACAACATAAAAACATGTTGCTCAGTCGATTCTATTGAATTAAAATGGTAACAAAAACTGTGACGACTTCACAGTCTTAACGCTAATTACATAGATCACATTACGCTATTAGCAAGCCATTAACACTTAGCTATATATGTATATATGTATATATAAGTATGTATGTTTGTCTGTAGCGTATGATCATTTAATTCATATAAGCAATTCATCATCAAATGTGTCTTTCACTCATTTCAGCTATTAGTGCTTTGCTAGTAAACGCCGTTGTGCCTTCATACATTACACTCTGCTCTACTACTAATGAGTTCGCAAGAACAACAGACACAAGTCAAGTACAGTGAAGTGAGTCCTTTTCAGATAAGCGACGGATTTACACGTAATACCAGAATGGAGCCAGTAAAGACTATACGTATATTCATCGCCGCTATTGCTGGTGAGTAAAACTCGAAATTAATAAAAAAAAAAAGTTAGGTGAAAAAGGATTCCAACTAAATATGTGAAAGGTGGCAAACAAATCGGATAATTAAACGATCTTTATTTACATTACAAGGAACTTGAGTTGTCTTGTTGTCCGATCGAAATTTTGCTTTAATTATGTTGTTATGGCAAAGCATTTTTCGAGCCAAAATTATCCGTAAATTTGTCCTAGTGATAACTCTCGCTGCCGGTACCGATAAACCCACTTAAGTGTACCGATAGCCATTTTTGACGACATTTTATTGAGTTATCTACATACTTATCGCCCTCTGTTGTGAATAACTTATGCAACTAAAATGCAATTATTTGAAATTTTGTAGCAAATATCTCAGCCTTTGCGGTGGGCACTTGTCTCGGTTGGACGTCACCAATAGCCCCGAAACTGAAGGCGCAAGATCCAACTGACTCACCACTCGATCGTCCCATCACCACAGAAGAGGACGCATGGATTTCATCGCTTGTGGCGTTGGGTGCTCTAATAGGTATGTTTAGACTTTGCGAATTAATTTAGGCTTAGCAAAAACTTTGATTTGCTTTCATTATTTTAGCGCCCTTCGTTGCTGGTCCACTCGCCGATAGAATTGGTCGCAAGTGGGTATTGCTTTCAAGTTCGGTATTCTTTGTGTTCGCCTACATTCTTATGATGGTCGCCAGTGAGGTTTGGATTTTATATCTTGGACGTCTCATACAGGGTTTCGGCGTGGGCTTTGTCATGACAGTGCAGCCAATGTACGTTGGAGAGATTGCAACTGATGCGGTACGTGGCGCCACTGGCTCTCTGATGCAGTTGTTCATAGTCTGTAAGTATCATTTAACGTTAAAATTTATTTGCTTTTCCACTGCCAGATGGAGTATATACTCATATTATTTTTCTTTACAGCTGGCATTTTGTATGTTTACGCTATCGGTCCATATGTCTCGTACGTAGCACTACAGTGGTGCTGTTTAGCTGTACCGATTGTCTTCGATGTTATCTTCTTCTTCATGCCGGAGAGCCCTTACTATTACGCTGGTAAAGGTCAAAAAACAGATGCTCTGAACTCACTCCAATTCTTGCGTGGTCAAAGCATGGATGTTGTACAAGATGAGATGACCGTAATTCAGGGTGAAGTTGAGGAGGCTATGGCTAATAAGGGTACCGTTGTCGATCTCATTAGGAATTCGGGCAATCGTAAGGCGCTCATCATCTCTGCCGGTTTGATTATTTTCCAACAACTCTCCGGTATCAATGTCGTGCTCTTTAATAGCCAGTCGATATTCGTTAGCGCCGACACCGGTTTGGATCCTGCCGTAGCTGCCATCATTGTCGGTGCAGTTCAAGTTGGCTCTTCTGGTATGACACCCATCATTGCTGATCGTTTGGGCCGCAAAGTGATTTTATTGATTTCTGCACTTGGCATGGCCATCGGTTTGGCCGCATTGGGCTCTTTCTTCTATGTACAGCAAGTAGTGGGTGATGCCAGCAATATCACTTGGTTACCTGTACCAGCTTTAGTTGTCTTCAACATTGTTTATTGCATTGGTTTTGGTCCACTGCCATGGGCTGTCTTGGGCGAGATGTTCCCAGCCAATGTTAAGTCAGTGGCGTCTTCGATAGTCGCCTCCACTTGCTGGATCCTTGGTTTTGTAGTAACACGTTGGTACCCCGCACTGGACGCATTGGGCTCATACTATGCTTTCTGGCTGTTTGGCATCTTCTGTGTTGTAGCATTCTTCTTCACTCTTTTCGTTTTATTCGAAACCAAGGGACTGAGTCTGCAACAAATTCAGGACAAATTGAATGGAAAAAGATCTAACTAATGTGGGAAATAAGGGATATATGGATATCTGGCGGAGGCATTCACATCCGCATTGTGTGAGATATTTTATGTGTGAATCTATATGGGCATAATTCTATATGCTCTTTGTTCCTTATTATAATGGTGATAGCCTCATGAGGCGCCGATCAGTGCGGTGTTATGGGTTACTGTATGAATTCGCTTCAAAAAGTATTTTTGTCGCATACCTACTAAATGTAATTTTAAAAGTATTTATAGTCTGTAAGCACTTCTAGATGAATTTATTAAATAATTTAAAATATACATATATACATATTTATGAAATAATGCAATAAAATCGATATTATGTAAAGTTCAAAAAAAAAACTATCACTTTCACTCTTAAAGTAAATACGATCAATTTGCATTCTTCAATGCTCCGGTTAAAAAGTCACATAAAAGTTATTTTTTGTGAAAATTCCAAAGCATGGATTTGTAGTGCGAGTCGTAACCTTCCTTTTGATAACATTGGTTTGATAAAATTCTACAAAAATTTAAAAGTTATAGCCATTGGCGCAAAAAACCTGATTTTGCGATTTGGAAAAAGGTGGGGAATGTCGGGTAAATGTAAAACAATGTAAATCGATTAAAACATGATTGTTACCGATGAAAAACGTTTATTTATCAATGGAAATGAAAGAGAGATTCATAAATAATAAGAAAAATAGGAATTGGCGAAAAAAATTATTCCGACTCGCAGTAGATGCAGGTGTAAGTGTTTGGGTTCGGTCCGGCACATTTCAAGTGAACCCCTCCATCACAAATGATGCAATGGGCCGTGTTTTGACGATTCTCGTGCTTCGGCATCTTTTTCTTGCAAATCATGCAAAAATTAAAGTCCTCTTCAATGTCGGTTTCGGTCGGAGACGGACTTCTCTTCCGTGGCGTCTTCGATTTGCCACGGCCTTTTTGCTTCTTGGCTGCTGGTTCATCGGCTGCCTTCGTCAATTTTTGCCGCTTTTTTTCGGCCTTGTCACGCAGATCGGCGACAACCTCAGGCGATGTCAAAATCGTTGACTCCATTGTCTTGCGGCCACGTTTTGATTTCGGCGCAGGTGGGCCCAATTTCAACCGGCCAACCGATTCCAATGCATCACGGAGCTGTGGAGCCGAAACAAGAGACAACGACGATGATGSAGCACCACTTGTTGAAGCTGGGGCACTTGTCGATGCCTCTGACGTTGACACCTCCTCATTCGCAGCAGTCACAATGGCATCACCAGAGGCAAGAACTCGACGTTGATTVTCGKCGTCTTTCTCTTCGTCACCGAACAAATTTTCGCCCCTCAGTTCCGAAGCGACAAAGTCAACTTCAGTGAAAATTTGCGGGTTGAACGGGTAGATGCCAGTTGTTCGGAAGCCGGATTTGATGGTTTTCGGCGTTAACATAT